AGGTAAGTATATTTAACTCGCCCCCCCCTCCCCCCCCCTTACAGGTGTGTTTTTTGTTTTCTGGGGTCATATGGTGGATTTGGATTGGAGATGTAAAAAGAAGAGCTTGGGTTTTAGTGCAAGTTCTGCTTTGATTTAAAGCCTAACTCCGGGCGCAATAAACTTTGCAGGGTTAGAGCAGCTACAAATTGCCTGGCTGCAAAAGCAACTTGTGGTCATGCAAGCTTCATCTTCATCTGGCAAATCCGCTCATTAACATGCTGGGACTAGAGCAGCTCCCTCTGTACTTCTGGCCTGCTTGGATGTAAGCACTGCAGGTCTTATAGACCCCAACACTGTAGTTGTGTCTCATCCTTCGCTCTTCTCCAGGCCATTCACAAAATAAAGCCTGGGGCTGTGTGATTTCTGATTGGCCTGGAGAACAGGGGGACAGAGATGACCATAGAGATGGGGCCTATGAGATCTGCAAGGATCTGGAAGTACAGCGGGAGTCGAGCTTTTATCCTGGGATGCTAATGAGCAGAATTGACAGATGTAGAATGAAGCCTGCATGATGGGAGGCGGCATTTTAAGCTTTACCTTCTCTAACCCTGGTAAGTTTATTGTGCCCGGAGTTCAGCTTTATAAAGATAAAGATGGCAAATCGAGTTTTTGAGACATTTAAAATTTTTTTTTTTCTTTTCCTCGGTTTAGGGAAGAACTAAGCAGTTTTGTTGAAAATGGCACTTTAACGCATCTAAAGGTCAGCTTCTCGAGAGAGCCGCCCGGCGACACCGAGGAGAGTCACCCGAAATACGTTCAGGATTATCTGAAGATTTATTCCAAAGACATTGTTAGATTACTGACCGAACTGAACGGAATCCTTTATGTGTGCGGGTAAGTATGCGCCGTCTTGGTTTGGGCCCCTTTTGCAGCAATTACTGCCATTACTTTTGCACGATATTCTAATTATTCGAATTTCACCTGTATATACACACACACACACTATAGCACCAACAACACTGTGTAAACTGACTCTGTATAAATCCTGTATATTAATGATAATAATGTGAAATTGTTCCACCCACCACTCTGTTCAACCAGCTCTGTGATCCAGGACCCCCTTGCACACTGCATAATCATGAAGGTGACACCGCTATGTCTTGATTCAGCTTTGCCGTTTCCTGTCACTTCTCCACTTGCAGTGTCATCTGCTGATTTTCTTTGGCCAATGAGCTGGCAGGTGACATGGTGACCTATAACAGGAAGTGATGGGATCGCCCCCACCCTCCGTCACCTGATCATGAAAGGCCCGGTAAACTATACATGGCACTGTGCCTTGCACAAACAAGTGCACAGTGCCCCACTGGTTTATTAGGTGCATAGATTGTAAGCCCTCAGGGGCAGGGCCCTCACCATCTTGTCTTGAATTGTATTGTGATTGTAATGTCTGCCCTATGTTGTAAAGTGCTTGGGATAGAGAGAAGGGCAGGCAGCAGAGCAGCACTGCGATGGCCGCTGTCTGCTGCTTTTGGTGTGTGTCCATCTGGGAAGCTGCCGACTGCCTCCTCGAAGCTGTTCATCTAGGACACAGAAGAGAGGAGGCAGCTTCTGCCAGCTCGGCCTCCATCAGAGGGAGTCCGATGTGCAGATCTGCGCCTGGTCAAGAGGCGCAGATCTGCAGATAATATCTGCACTACATTGTGTTTTATAGAGTGCAGAAACTGCGGCACTCCTACAACAAAGCGCATATTTGCAATTTTCCAGTTTCTGATGCACATTCTGTATTTTCATGAATGCAAAAAACATGGCCAAAGATGTGAACGATGCATTGACTGACATTATGAGTGCGGAGCTTTGCCTGGACAAACTAGACGCAATGAAGGCCCTCGCCTCGCTCAGAGATCAGAAGCGCTATGTACAGGATGTTTGGAGCTGAGGATCCACATACTTCCCTTTCGCTGTTCTGTATGAACCGTGACATCCCGGAGTTCCGGATACTCCATCTTCATGGGTTTCAGTCGTCTTCTCAGGACAGTTCTCTGTGAGCCTACACTGGATTGTTGGACCTCTCTGGGTTCCAGGACTGTTCACTTTTTAAGGGTGAATTCACACTGAAGCGCTGTTATGCTAAGGCCGTCTTGGGCTGCAGGGCGGGTGTGTCGGGGTGCCATTCAAATATAGAGAACTCAGATCGGATGCCTTGCTTGCAAAATTCCAATTTGCACCAATTTATTTAAAGTAGAAGTCAACCCAAACTGAATGATCTATAGATTGTTTGGTGCACTAGGTCATTTTTTTCATCATGAAATCCTGTTTTTTGGAGTTTAAAAAATGTTTTTTTCCCATTTCAGTGCCTGGCGATCTCCTCCAGCCTCTTTCAGCCCCTTCCTGTCTACATGCGCTCACTCCAACGTCAGCTGCACATCATGGCTCTGGAACAGCATCTCGGTAGTGACAACGGTTTGAACACGTCTGAGCAATGTGCAGCTGCTTGTTGTCACCACCAGGGGCGCATGTGACAGGGTGACAATGCAGGAGCATGACTGAGAGGTCGTTGTCACCCAACAACAGAAAGTGCAAGGACCTTCCATGAAGGATCGCCAGGGACTTTTTTTATGAAAGCTGCAGATTCTGAAAGACAAACAGATTTTGGAATGACATGAACATGTTAAGGCTCACATGAGATTTTAGTGATTGGGTTTGCGTGGACTTTAAAGAGGTTTTGGGCAAAAAATGAAAGGTCTGTCTCCTCCTGTCTGTCCTATTGTTACCAGGCTGTTTATAGGCTATGACGGGCTGGTGGTGGTCAGCTTGGCCTTCAGAACTGACAGCCCTGTAGACGTATTTCTGGGGTGAGGCTTTACCTTTGCCGGCATTGAAGAGCTTTGGCGTTGTACGCCACTTGGCACCAAAGAACGCTGAGCAGCCCTCAAAGAGCTGATTCGCAGCAGCTACGATTTGGGAGAGACGCCTGGCAGGCTGCAGGGGTGGGGGGGACTGGTGGAGCAGGGGGTGTTGTGGGAGATGTTTTTTTGTTTACCTAATAAATGAAACGTTCAATTTTCAGATTTTTAACCAAAGCTGCTAAAGTCAATTTGTACACTAAATCCTATAGAAAGTTTAAGTTTACAAAATTTGTTTTCATTTTAAATTTTACAATTTCCTGCCAATAAAATATCTGAGTTTTATCCTTACAATGGAGATCGTGTTACTAGATACGGAGGCTTTAGGAGGAAATGGATGATTTATCTTCTGCTTTTTCATTTCAACGAAGAACAGGAAAGTGTTTCATCAGGTTTTTCTGAATTTGGTATCTCTCACCCCGCTAGTGCTGGGCTTTCTGCAGCATCCCTGTGACAATTCAGTGTACTGCAATTAAAATACAATTCCCCGGATTCATTGTGTGATTGAAGTACTGAATAGGATGTGTTTACTTGCTCAGGAACATGCATCATTCCATCACCACGTCTGTGGTTGTCTGACCACCGTTCAGCTATGGGAAGGCGTGTTGACCCCAGTGCGATGGAGGGAGAGAGTGGTGGGTGGACTTGTAACTGACGTCGGCACACATAGGAGGAAAAGATCTTCCAGACTCTGCCAACAATCAGGATGCCTGACTAGATCCTACTATGAAGTTTTTGCCTCAAGACGACAGATGGCTGCAAATGGTCGGTCCTGTACTTAGGGATTGTGTTGCCAATCTTGGTATATGTACTACAGTATTATACTATAGATGAGCACTAAATGACAATAAAAGGGAAATAAACCCTTAAAACCAGCCATTGTTACCTCTCTAGCTGCTTGTACTGTGAAGGCAGTGGCGTAACTGTAACCATAGCAACCCAGGTGGCTGCTATGGGGCCTGGGAGTGGAAGAGGGCCCCTTTTAGGTTGTTGAGGCAAATTAAACATGGAACATGTGAAGATAAAACTACTGTATCATTAAAGGAGAAGTATGAGATGAGTGATTTCCACTCACCTCATAGTTCTAAGCCGACCTGTGACAATGAGACTGTCACAGGTCGGCTCAGTAGATCGGGAGGTGAGGGAACACATACCGGGTTCCCTCACCTCTCGATCCTGTCACGGCTCTCTGCCGTGACAGGGGGAGGGGCTGTATTCCCCTCTCCCCGCTCCGATCTGCCAGCGCTGACTGGCGGAACGGACGGGGGAGGGGGCGGGTACAGCTGGCTCTGCCTCTAGATAGGCAGAGCCAGCTGTCACTCACGCAGCTGGGCGGATCCCGTCATCTACGTCGGGATCCGCTCCAGGTGCGGCGTCTCAGTATATAGAGAGCTGTAGCTCGCGGTATACTGAGCTTAGGGTGACGGGAGGACGCTAGTTTGTGTCCTCCCGTTACCCTAAGGAGAACTATGGGGAAAAACACTGACCCCATAGTTATCCTTTAAGGGTTGGAGTTGAAGTCTATAGTGTAGAGCAGTGGTTCTCAACCTGTGTAACCTCGGGACCCATATTTATCTTTGGTCATTAAGTCACGATCCAAGGGGTCCAAGGACAGAGCCTTGGGGGACCCCAACAGAAAGGGGAAGAGGAGAGGAGGAGTTAGATTTGTAGGTGACACTAAAGGAGCGCTTAGATAGGTAGGAGGAGAACCATGAGAGAGCAGAGTCTTGTAGGCCAAGCAAGTGTAGTTTTTTTGAGGAGGAGCAGGTGGTCAACAGTGTCAAAAGCAACAGAAAGGTCTAATAACAAGAGTAAGGAGTAGTGGCCTTTGGTTTTAGCAGTTAGTCAAGTCAATAGTGAGTTTTAGGAGGGCGGTTTCTGTGGAGTGTAAGGGGCAAAAGCCACACTGTAAGGGGTTGAGGGGTCCAGTAAAGGTTTTTTGGGTATTGGGGTGACCAGGGCATGCTTTAGAGGGGAGGGAAAGCTGCCAGTAGAGAGTGAGAGATTGAAAATGTGAGTAAGAGGGTGCCCGAAGTAGTGGTGAGGAAACGGGGTCTAGGGGGCAAGTGGTGAGGTGGATGTCGGAGAGAAGCTTTGTAACCTCCTCTGTGGTGACTGGGTCAAAAGAGGAAAGTAACACTTGTGATGGTGGGTCTGGTACATTAATAGGGGAAGGTGACTGGACAGTGGCGATCTGATCCCGAATTTTTAAATGAATGGCAATGTCTTGGGCAGTGAGTGAGTTAGTGGGCGGTGGCGGTGAAGGACATAGTGGAGAGTTAAAAGTAACAAAGAGTTGACGAGGTTTGGATGAGAGTGTGTTAATGAGAGTGACAAAATAAGTCTGTTTGGAACCACGGAGGGAGGAATTATATTTTAGGAGGGCAGCTTTATACAGTGTGAAGTCTTGCAGAGACCTAGTTTTATGCCACAATCGCTCCAGACTGTGCCTTCTCCATCAGGGGCATCCCCTCCTTGCCCCTTGGAGTATTCCTGCTGGTACTTCAACGCAGATAACTCTGTTTGGAGCTTATCTATCCCTTCTGTCATCTGGATGGTCACCTCGGATGGAGATGTCTGTTTGGTTCCAGACAAGCTATGGGTGCTTCTAACAGTTTGTGAAAATTCCAGTTGTATTTGCATCTATCTTGCAAGGTTTCTCTGACCTTGTTGGAAAGCAGGAAATCTACAGATTGTTCATCAGCCATCCATCCGCACCACCCTAGCTGGGCCATCCTACTTGGCCCCTTTTTCTATGGCGCCTCTCTGCTGCTATGCCTTGAAGTTTCAGCTCATATTGTGCAATAGAATCTCCTACTCTGCTTTCTGCTGATGAAGTGAGCCCCAAGGCCCCCCAATGTACTACCTGGCTAGACACCTCTTCTAAGTAGTTAGCTATCTCGTCAAAGGAATCTGACACTTCTGCTGGCAGGTGTAGGATTACCCTTCTTGATCCTCCTACTTACCCCCCCCCCCCCCCCCACGACCCCTCACCATTAGAGTAGTG